GATTACTTTTCTCAAAATGTTGTTGAAGATACTTCACACATTATATCGGGTTAAAAGTTCAATATTAACAAGCTCATATCAGCCCACACGTCAAGAAAACCCGAGTAATATTCTTGAATCTTCCTATCTCCCTGAGAGTATACAAATATTTCTTATTCAATTTGATATTGCCTTCACATATTAGATTGATGATATGCTTTCTTCAGATAGGAATACATTTCATAAGCAATGTTCATCCTCCTCATAGGTACAGAAATATGGGATTCTATAGAGCTTAGAATCCAAGAAACAATTTTCCATTATCCAACTTCCATTGTTGGAAAGCTTTAGTATCAGTTTCAGCTGGTTACAACACCACTACTTCCAAGCCTTTTCCTTCAACATAAAAAATCAAAATGAAATTTCCACATTCCATAGTTTGCTCCATTAAGCTCCACCGGAATGACATCTACTCTATCAGAGGCCATTTCAGCAAGAAATAACAGTCCAAACACACTAATAGCCAAGAAAAAATAGATTCAACAGTAGCTCACTTCAGTCTGTCAGTGTCAGGCGACTTTTCCAGAAGAGACACCAGGAGAAGAACTCAAAACCCTTTCCAGACTGATTCGAACCAGACCAGGCAATGGGATATTAGTAATACTCCTTTGGGCAACACCAAATCCGATATTTTATGCAGGTCTGGTGCTTCATAGGTGAAGGTACRGAAAGAGAGGGATTCGAACCCTCAGTAAACAAAAGCCTACATAGCAGTTCCAATGCTACGCCTAGAACCACTCAACCATCTCTCCTACATAATCTTATCATTATGACCCAGAAACTGAGTGAATAGCGAGTCATTCATATTATTGCAGTAAAGGTACACCCAATACCAAAGAAAACCCCAAAGCTGTAGGCGCAGAGGTCCAGGACAGAGTCTGATATCGACTGATCAAAACAGCCTACAGAAAACTTCAAACCAGAACTGAATAAGGAGGCAAAGTGACTTGAGACAATCCTTCAATCTTGAGTAGAAACCAGATGTTGAGAGCTGGTACAGATAACCTGCTCTAATACCATGTAAACCTTCTTGGTCGAACAGAAAAGAGAGAGAATAGAATTAGGAGTATCAATGTTGTCAATCCCCACTCCAAAGAGTCACTTATATATTAAAGAGAATGTATAATTACAAGAATGCCCATGTGGGGCAGAAAGAAAGAAATAAAAGGAATACATATAAACATAAAAAGTGAACTGTACAAAAGGGACTATCCTAATAAAGTACATTAAGCCTCAAAGTCCCCACAGCAGGTGGGTTCCCCCTCAAGATGTGGTAAGCCTATTCAATCCCATCTTCCTAAGGCAGCCAAAAAAGAGGGAGAATTATGTGGAGGGCAGTAAGGGCAGCAAAAGCGTGGACTATTTAGGAAGAAAGAAACCAAAGAATTTTCAATGACAATAGTAGGTCAATGGAGGAGGTCATAGAAGGCATACAAGTCAGGGCCATACATTGGGTAAAAACATTGGAACTCTTTTGAATATTCTCAATAAATGAGATAGAAAATGGTCAGAAGTGGTACAAATAGATAGAAGTAAAGATAATCTGAGATTGGATTTGAATCTCTGGATGAAAACAAAAATGAAGCTGAACATTGATGGTAGCTCTCTGTGCAATCTGGGGTAGGCAGGAATAGGGGGGTGTTCAAGAACCATTTAGGAATGGTGGTGGCTATGTATTCAGGGCCAATTGGCATTCATAATTCGGTTTGGGCTGAAATACTGACATTGTTGCAAGGACTGAGGTTAGCATAACAGCTTTGTTTCTGAGAATTGGAAGTGGAAGGAGACTCACAATTTAGTCATTTATTGAAAAAAGCAAATTAATTCAGCACCTTAGAGTTACAGGCATGCCTACAAGGAGATGTCACCCATCAATGGAACTCAATACCACCTTCAAGGAGATAGACATCACTTGTTTTGAGCAAAAGTGTAAACTTTTATTCGAGGTTGGTTTGAATGTTCCAATATTCGTACTTAACTTTAACTTCAGATCTTAATTTAATGAGTCGCTTTTTCTGATCAAAAAAAAAAAAGTCAAAGATCCATATAGTGACTAAAAGAAGTGGGAAAAAGTAAAAAGAAAAAAAAAAAAGGGTCTTTCAAGAGAATCAAAGGTTGGGGAAGGAAGGTACAATAAAAAAGGCAAGATGAGTAAGGTAGGTGGATTTTGTTAGAGGATGAGTCTTTTTTTAGCTACTTTTGGGGTTCAATCGACACATTATCTTTTACAATGTTGATTGACCCTGATGTTAAAAATTAAAACGGAGCTGCATTGTGAATGTTGCAAAATTTTTTGATGGTTGGCAATATCTGTGATTTGTATGTTTGTACATCATTCTTTTGCATGCTATGTGCTTTTACTTTGGCTGCAAAGCCTTCTCTATTCCTATCTTTTTTATTTAATAAGATTTTCTAAAACATACTTACTTTTTCTTATAAACTCTGTGATTGGAAATTGGGTCAAACCACATTAAAACTGGTTGTTTCTCCTTTATTTCCTTATTATTATTTTCCTGTCCATGGATTGACAGTAACAAGTCTAGATCACACCTATTTTCAATCCTAAAATTTGGACCAATTATATATCTCCACAAATAGTTGCTTTATTCTCTTTTTCTTTACTATATATATATATATGTGTGTGTGTGTGTGTGTGTGTGTGTGTGTGTGTGTGTGCGTGTGCATGTGAATTTTTCTAGTTTTAAAATTGAACAAATAACTGTGGCCAATCACATTTAAGTGATTGAACAAAAAAAGAAAAATCATGTTTCGGAACCTAAGGAGTGACTACTAAAGCAATCCAGGTAAGACTGTCCTTTAGTAGTTGATTACTAGAAAGATAGTTGTCATACGGCCGACCTAGTAGCACTAAGTAGCCAGATTACTAGAATCTCATAGTTGACTACCAGAGAAAAGGATTGGATGTGCGTGAGAGTCAACCATTAAGCCTTAGCAATCGATTTCAAAGAACAAAGTGCTTGCAACGACATTATAACAACCAATTTGGTTAAGTCACCTTTTCTTATTAATTTTAACTAGTCAGGACCCATGCAACGCACAAGCTTTATTTATAAACAAAATTGAAGATGGGCCTATATGACATTTCCAATTAAATGGTGTCCATCTAAGTTCAATTCAAGTATTATTTTCCTATTCTCTAGATAAATTTGTATTTTTTTTGGTATCTTAATGCAAATTTTTATTAATTTTTGTTGGTTATTGTTGAAATAATGTACTTTATTGCAAGTAGTCGACTATATCTATATAGATGGAATTTTATGACATTTTCAATTAAATGGTGTCCATCTAAGATATTATTTTTTGGGGTTATTTGTATCTTAATGCTGATTTTTATTAATTTTTTGGAAAAGATTTTTTATTATTTTTATTGGTTTATTATTATTTTTAGGTAAAATTATAAAAAGAAACATCTTGTAACAATTCTATAATTCACCTTTGTGTTTTGACCCTAACAAAGGCCTCCCCTATAGTTTTGGGAAAAGAGTGCAAATACCTCCTTTCCCTTGTCTCTTCGATAACAAAGACATTAAAGTTACTGATAATTAATAAATTTAATAAATTCAATAATTGTTAGATAATATACTTTTTTCGAAAGGAATTTAAATAAATTCAATTATAAATTTACTTAAATTTAAATAAATTTAAATAATTGAGATATTCAATTAAGTTTCATAAGGAATTTAAAATAGTTGGTTTTAAATTAATAAAATTTAATTATAAAACTAATAATTGTTAGATAATTTTGTATTAGTTTTATATTAATTTTAAATTGATCTTCATTTTTAATTTATTTTATTCCTTTTATTAATTAAATTATTTTTATTATATTAATAAAGATATTTTCATTATTAACAATAATTAATAATTATTTTTATTTTCTTTAAGTAACTTAAAAATTTATTTTTATTATTTTCAAATGAATTATAATTTTAAAAGAAGTACATTATTTAGTGCAATAATATATCCTTGAATATCTCAATTTCAATATAATTAATCTTTACTGATAGTTAAAGTTTAACTATTTATATATAGTTAACTTGAAATGATATATAGATAAAGTTAATGAATTTTATGCAATTTAATGAAGTAATGGAGATGAGAGAGAATTAGAGGCATGAGTTATTGAAGGAGAGAGTTAATGGCGTAATTAATGGGAGATTATTAAAAGAGTTAATGGGAAAGAGGGGATAGAGAGAGATAGTTAATGGTGTTTTAATGAAGAGTGTTAAAATTCTTAAAGGTGATTGGTCACTTGAGTTATTTTAGTAAATTTTAAAATTAGAGAATTTAAAAAAAACGGAAAAAAGATAGATACCTTTAAGAAGAAACCAGAAAAGAGATAAGTGGCTTTTAGAATAAACCATAGAGCAAGAAAGTGCCAGCTTGGCACATTGCATTTTACTGTGTGTGTGTAAATATATATATATATATATTCTTTGTTGAAATAATGTAATGTACTTTGTTGCAAGTAATCGAATAGTAAAGAGCAGGAAAGTGCCAGCTTGGCACATTGCATTTTAGTGTATATATATACATATATATATATATATATGTATATATATATTCTTTGTTGAAATAATGTAATGTACTTTGTTGCAAGTAATCGAAATAGTAAACCATAGAGCAGGAAAGTTCCAGCTTGGCACATTGCATTTTAGTGTGTGTGTGTATATATATATAGATATATATATATATATTCTTTGTTGAAATAATGTAATGTACTTTGTTGCAAGTAATCGAATATATATATGTATTCTTTGTTGAAATAATGTACTTTGTTGCAAGTAATCGACTATATATATATATATATATAGTCGACTATAAGGTTCTAGTAAGAAGCAATTTTGGGAAGTTTTAAAATTAGAAAAGTAGAAGATTTATAACCTTTACTACTTATTAATACTAAACTAGGCATGCGAAAAAAAAGGATTATGACGCACCCGCCAGCTCTGACAACCTTAGTAACTTGGCTTCCTGCCCACACCATTGCCATTATTTTGAGAAATCTGCAGTTCAAAAAATAAATAAATGAGGGAAATATTTTAGATGCTTCAGCCTCCCAACAAAATGCAAAAATTACCTTTCAACAGCTGCAACATAACCCATCTTTCCACTAGACGGCAAAACAAAGAGCCTAGGAACAGAACAAAAGCATTATAGTGATGAGAATTCCTTGATATTTATAAGCATGCAAAGAAACTTCCAATAATGGTTAGGAAATTTTTAGGTGGAAACTGCTTGGAATTGCCAATGCATAAAATATTATTTTGTTTCTTGAAAACCAAAAACCTTACTTATATATGACCAACAAATTGCAATGACCAAATACCAAGGAAAAGAAATATGTAGGAGTAGGATAATCATAGATTTTTTTTTCCTTTCTTAGACCACTTCATATTGACCCACACAACCCAACTAAGCTTGTCCAATTATGCAAGTTGTTAAAAGAAGGCTCTGAGTATGTCTGAAAGGAAAGGAAAAAAAATTGAAGGGTGGAATAATAAAAGCTGCAGAATGCATCATTGAAAAGAAAGAGTGACTGTTTGTCCAGTTAAATCCTGGTCAATTTAGCTGAAATTTGACAGCATGAGAGCACATTTATAGTTCCCTAAACTAAGCTCATCATTGAAAAAATGAGAGCACATTTTTTTTATTCATCAAAAAAATTTTGTAGATTTTCATCTCAATATGACAAGTGGAAGTTCCCTAAACTAAGGGTTCAAGACGACTGATTTTTCGGTTCTGTAAGTTTTGTTCGACAATCTTGTCTTCTTCGAATCAGACGTTGAAGCCACCGACTCGCACATCTTCGGGTCCTTCCTCCTACAACCCAAATCAATACCTAACTTCCCCACAACCACTTCAACAACTAAAAGCTCATCCCCTCTTTTTTAAGGCTCAATCATGTCCAGAGCAGGGTAGGCACAATCAGCACTAGAGAAACCACCAAATGAACCTGCGAAAGAAGGTTTAACTACATTAACCATGGTTGACTACTAATGTCATCACTGCCAATTGTTGACATTAGTAGACTATACACTTGGAGCATCATTCTATTGTTGAAAACACTAGTTTCTAAATGGGTTTGAGCTAATATGTTTTTTAGTGGTGATTTCATGTTCATTTGTGGGAGGGTTCATATTTTTTGAGGTTTTCATCTGAAAAAAAATCAGAAAAATCCAGATTTGATTCTTCCTTGGGTTTGAACTTGGAGACAAAGAGGTTGATAAACTTATCCCAAGAGGCATTATAGGATGGCCCAAGCAGTTTGAGGAGTGGTGGTAAAGGATGTTGGAAAACTAAAGAATCGGTTAGAGGTATGTATTACAGGCAGGTTTAGTCGAAAGATTTTTGGACACATCCAAATGAAAGAGATGTGGAATGCTGGGTGGAGAATGAATGAAGGGGAGGGGTTTTCAGGCAGCAAGGAAACTCAATGCAGGTTTGTTCATCTTCATGTTCAAGAGTAGTGAAATTAGGGACGAGATTTTGAGGGAAGAAGCAAAAGCAAAGTATCATTACCCAGAAGTAACATTAAGGCCATGAACACCACTGGTTGGACAGGTAAGGAACTCACCTGGCCAGTACCTTATCTGGATTCACATCTAGGCAATATCGTTGCACACTTGGTGTATCCAGACATTCAGGGCTGTTGGAGAGGCATTTGGGAAACTCATGCATTATGACTTTAGAAATAGACATTGGGAAAAACTGCAAGTTGTAAGAATACTGGAGGAAGTTCAAGAGGTTCGTTTGGATCAGTAGAAAGCCTTATGTGCTGATTCAGCCAAGCTTCTTGTGAAAGGAAGAGGAGAAAGTTTGGGGTTTCAGCAATAGACAGAGGAAAGAGAAGAAAAGGGGAAGAAGGTCAACTAGGATAGTGATTCATAACCCTAGCCGCCAGCCCCTCATTCTACTTATAATTAACTTAAATATGAGATATTACAAAGATGCCCCTAGTAGGGCGGCAACTCAAACTAAGTACTTACAATTCTTTTAAAAACAAAATACTAATGGGCCCAAGGCCCAACAACTTCTTAATTTAAAAGAAAACAAACTAAACATAAATTGGCCCACTCAACACTCCCCCTCAAGTTGGGAATATATGTAACACATTCCCAACTTGCGTAGATCATGTTCCAGCTTATCCTTCGCAACACCTTTTCTGAGAACATCAGCAAGCTGCAGATCAGAAGCAATGTATGGAAGACAAACTTCTCCAGAAGTTACCCTTTCTCTGATAAAATGTCTATCTACTTCAATSTGCTTAKTHCGGTCRTGYTGGACTGGATTATGGGCAATATTGATTGCTGCCTGGTTATTGCAGTATAGCATCATAGGTTCTTCT